TTCCCTACTTTAATTTTGATCATTTTTATTGATCTGTCTTCGTATTAACTGATTTTTTCTTTTACAGTATCCAGTCTACCATTAAGCCCATTCAGTGAGTTTATTTCAGATATTGTATTTTCCAGTTCTAGAATTTTCATTTGTTTATAATCATGTTTACAATAGTTTGGTTAACATTTTCTCCTTATAGGTCAAATGTTCTTAAATTTTCATAAATTTCAAGTTTTCTTGCTCCTCTGCATGCCTCATGATTTCATATTGTATTCCAGATACTGTTTATAAAAGGACAAAAGCTAATACAGTACGTGTGTGTGTGTGTTAGTTGCTCAGTCATGTCTGATTCTTTGCAAGCCCATTGGACTGTAGCCTACCAGGCCCCTCCATCCATGGGATTTTCCAGGCAAGAGTACTGGAGTGGGTTGCCATTCCCTTCTCTAGGGGATCTTCCTGACCAAGGGATTGAATCCGATCTCTTGCATTTCCGGCAAATTCTTTACCATCTGAGCCACCAGGGAAGCCCCTAATATAGTATGCTGCTGCTATGTCACGTCAGTGTTGTCCGACTCTGTTCGACCCCACAGACGGCAGTCCACCAGGCTCCTCTGTCCCTGGGATTCTCCAGGCAAGAACACTGGAGTGGGTTGCCATTTCCTTCTCCAATGCATCAGAGTGAAAAGTGAAAGTGAAGTCGCTCAGTCGTGTCCGACTCCTCTCGACCCCGTGGACTGCAGCCCACCAGGCTCCTCCGTCCATGGGATTTTCCAGGCGAGAGTACTGGAGCGGGGTGCCATTGCCTTCTCCTAATATAGTATACTACTTGTTTATTTCCCAAAAAAGTAGAAACCCTTCCTCTAACCATTAAAGGAAATGATCATTCAGATTCCTTCTAGAGTAGGGTTGGAGATGACTTGTCACTTTAATTAGATTGATTTCACCTGTGATTAATCCACATGCCAACCTTCCCAGTGCTGCTTTGATCTTGCTAGAATTTGAGCTGTAAATGTGTTGGTTACACTTCTATACGTTTGTGATTCATCTTTTTATAAATTTTTATTTATTTATGACTGCACTGGGTCTTCATTGCTGTGAGTGGGCTTTCTCTCGTTGTGGCAAGTGGGGGCTACTTTCTACTTGCAGTGCCTGGGCTTCTCATTGCGGTGGCTTCTCTTGTGGAGCACTGGCTCTAGGGCCCTTGGGCTCAGTAGTTTCGCTCGTGGGCTCTAGAGTGTGGGCTCAGTAGTTGCGGCACACAGAAGCTTAGTTGCCCCATGGAGTGTGGGATCTTAGTTCCTGGACCAGGGGTTGAACCTGCATCCCCTGCATTAGCAGGCAGATTCTTAAGGGACTCATCTTTAGAGTCAACTCTGGGACAGAGTCCCAGAATGTAATCACCCCGAGAATGTGCACGACTACATTATTTATGCCGGTTAGCATAAAAGCAATCTCCTCAGCATTAAACCCAGAGGAAATATACCTCCTCTCTTCTGGGATTCCAGGCAAGAGTCATTCGTTGGCTTCAACTGGGTCATGTGCCTAATATAGACCATTTTTGAGAATATAGTAAGGACAAAGAGCAAAATGGATAAACTACATGAAAAATTTGCTACCATTTGTTTCAAAAAGGATAAAGAAAACGTGTGTATGTATGAGTAGACAGAATTTCTAGAATACTGAAAACATTGATGGCCTCTAGGGTGGGGAATGGGATGCTTGGGGAAGATTTTTCATTATATATCCAGTTTGAATTTAAAGCCACATAAATTACCTATTAAAAAAATTAAATGAAAAGTTGAAATGCAGTTGCCAAAATATTCACTGGTTTCCTTTGTAGCAGTCAGGGTTAAAAAGCACAGACCAAAGAAGTTATGAGTCCCATTTGTCAGATGAAGGGAGGGGGCAAGGGCAGCAAGTAACCTCGTGTTTCATCATCAAAAGCAAAGAACCTCACAGCCTTCTGTCCATTTTGTCCTCCAACCTTCTCAGTACTTTTCTTACCAGCCTAGTTGTTCAAAAAGATAGCTCTGTTTGTTCATATTAGAATGCTTAAAGAATGGGGGTCTTGGAGCTGGCTCCTTGCTTTCACCAACTCATAATATTGCTGTCTTACTTTCTCAAAAAATGGATTAAAGCACAAAGTTTGCTAAATATACAAAGACAAAGAAGCAGGGTTGCTGGTCCCAGAGCTATTTATGGATATCTGATTTAAAGGAAGCTTTCCGATATCCTGTAAAAACATCAAGGCAATTCTTCCCAACAAATAGAACTAAGTGTTCTCTATCACTCATTTTTTGCCTTTAGGTAAATATAATCTTGTGGGATTTGCTTTCCCTTCATTCTGTCGACACAACCCAGAGCTCAGGAATAAAAGACATCTTTGAATGAAAGAACATGTACCTACATTAAGCCTTGATTAGTATTCTGCTGTCCTCTCTGATTTTTCCAATTGGCCCCTGCTTTCCCATAAATATGTATGCACTTAAAACCATTTGGGACTTAAAGAATTCAGAGAAGTTTGTGTGTTTAGAGAAAATAAAACAACCTAACCCAGGGCCACAGGATAGGAACTTGCTGGAAGGCCTCCAGTTTGCTTCTCCATTGTGATGGATTAATGATTAGTTTAAGAAAACGTGCTTGGCTAACACAAGGAATAAGCAGGACCCTGCTTGAATGCCAAATCCCCTATTTCCAATTCTGAGACTAGGACACAATGTGCTTTCCCTTCTGAGAATTGCGCAGTGGTAAAGAATCCGCCTGCCAGTGCAGGAGATGCAGATTCAGGTTTGATCCCTAGGGTAAGGAAATGGCAACCTACTCCAGTATTCTTGCCTGGAGAATTCCATGGACAGAGGAGCCTGGGAGGCTATAGTCCATGGGGTTGAGAAGAGTTGGACACAACTGAGCACTGCTCACTGCTTCAGTTTGTTATATTCAAGCCTTACAGTTGACATTTATGGCTTAAAATGCTCTAAGACTAACAATGAACAATCTGAAAAGAAAATTACAAAAACAATTCCATTTAAAATAGCATCTAATAGATAATCAACAAGGACCTACTGTATAGCACAGGGAGCTCTACCCAATACTCTATAATAACATATATGGGAAAGAATCTGAAAAATAATATATGTGTAACTGAATCACTTCATGTGCACCTGAAACGAATATAACATTGTAAATCAACTATCCTCCAGTATAAAATAAAAATGTTTTTAAACAGCATCTAAAAAAATACTTAGGAATTAACTTAATCAAGGAGGTGGAAGACTTGTACCATGAAAACTATAAAATATATCTGAAAGAAATTAAAGACATTAATAAGTGGAAAGAAATCTCATGTTCATGGCCTGGAAGACTTATTAAGACATCAGTACTACCCTAAGCAATTTACAGATTTAATGCTATCTCTATCAAAATCTCAATTTTTTTACAGAAACAGAAAAACCCATCCTAAAATTCATAGAATCTTTAATATTTATTTGGCTATGCCAGATCGTAGTTGCAGCATGCAGGATCTTTAGTTGTGGCATGTGGGATGTAGTTCCCTGACTGGGATCAAACTCGGTCCCCTGCATTGGGAGTTCGGAGGCTCAGCCACTGGGTCACCAGGGAAATCCTCTGGAGGAACTTTAAATTTGTGCATCAAAAGGTACTATCAACTGAGTAAAAAGGCAATCTACAGGACGGGAGAAAATATTTGCAAATTACATATCTGAATCAACATCCCAAATATATAGAAAACTCCTAAAACTCTGTAACAAAAAAACCTCAATTAAAAATGAACAAAAGACTTGAATAGACATATATCCATATAATAGTCAAGATATACCAATGGCCAGTAAGCACATGAAAAGATGCAACATCACTAATAATTATGGAAATGCAAATGAAAAGTACAATGAGATACTTCACTTCTATTTGGTAGCTATCAAAAAACTCCAGAAAACGACAAATGTTGGTGAAGATGTGGAGAAATTAGAACCCTTCTGCACTATTGGTGGGACTGTAATTGAAAGCAGGGTCTCAAGGAGGTATCTGTATAACCATATTGATAGCAGCATTATTCACAACAGCTAAAACATAGAAGCAACCCAAGAGTCTATTGACAGATGAATGGATAAGCAAGATGTGGTACATGCATACAATGGAAAACTATTCAGCCTCAAAAAAGAAACTCTGATATATGCTATGTGTATTAAGTGACATAATTCTGACACAAAAAGAGAAATACTGTATGATTCCACTTATAATGAGGTACTAAGAGTAGTCAACATCATAGACCTACAATGCAGAACCGTGGTTGCCAGGGCGATGAGGGAAGAGGGGGCTATTGTTTCATGGATAGAGTTTCAGTTTTCCAAGGTGAAAAGACTTCTGGAGATGGACAGTCGTACAACGATATGAATGTACTTACTACTACTCAACTGTACACTGAAAAATGGTTAAAATGAGGAATTTCTTGGTTTCCTGGTCCAGTGGTTAGGACTCTGCTTTCGCTGCTGAGGATGCAGGTTTGATCCCTAGTTTGGGGAACTAAGATCCTGCAAGCCCCAAGGTCAAAAATTAAAAAAAGAAAAAAAAAGATTGAGATGGTATATTTTATGTTATATGCATTTTAAGACAAAAAACAGTTCAAGAAATGCTCAGGGTATCTGAGGTTTTCATTATATTCGCAACATTTAATTTTCTAGGGATCATACCTTCCCTTCTACACCTGAATTTTTTCTTTTAAAAACATGTGTCTAAGCATTTCCATCAGAAGTACTCATATACCACTGATATTCCCTTGATGCTAATTTTTAAGGTAAAGGCATTTTACCAAACTTAAAAAATAGGTTACAACCTCATTATTGAAAAGTATGATCCAAAAGAAAATAGAACAAATAGGATGGAGCAATCCTTTATTTTTAGACACTCTCACACGGGGGTTTTTAGTACGCAGAGTTTCCAGCAGAGAAGACAGAATGTGAGAATCAGTCTCCAGCCACTGGCAGCTACTCCGCTCAGGGCCGAAGATCCTCCTGGCCTGAGTGGTGAAGTGGAGGTGTGTACTTCCCTTCCTTGATTAGCTTATCCCGCTGTCTCTTGATGGCATTCAGACGTTTCATCTGTCCAAGGAGGAAAATATTTAAACTCAGACGGAGATATGCACCAGAAAGTGAACACTGGAGAAGCCGAATACAAAACTGGTTTCATTTTTAAACTATGGAAGCTTTTAATCCTGGAGGGACTCTGAGATAAATCCCATCTTTAAAGAATCAATTTCTCAAGCTTTTAACAAATCAATTTCTCCTGTGTATATATAGTAATACCTCCTTGAAAACTGATAACTAATATGTTCCTATTATATATAGGAATATAAGCATTTACAAAAATAATAGAGATAGAGCAGCTTTAAGAGGTATATTTATACATACTAAAATCTTTAAAAATATGAAAAGCTGACATCACCTCACAGCGTATGCTGGTGACCGTTCACTAGATATGAACGAAGCAGAAACAGGTAAATGAAGTCTCTGGACCACACAGAAAGACACGGTATATGCTCAGCCAGTAGTCACTCAGATAGGCAGGGCCTTGAGTTCTGCCTTTTCCCCTCAGTAGGACGTTCCCTACGGCTGAAAATCAAGCTATCCAAGACTGTGTGAGAGCCATAATTAATGGATTCTGTGACATGGAAAATAAGACTTACTAATCTTTAATGCACTATTCCTTGGCTCAAAACCCAATGGCTTTCATCTTACTGAAGGAAAAGCTGAATCCTTCCCTAGAAGGACTTATAAGACCCTTCTCTCTGACTTTATGTCTTTATACTTTCCTCCAGCTTTCTCTGCTCCAGCTAGAGACCTTCCATTTGCTGCTTCCTCTTCCCTCAGGTGCATGTGGTTCACAATCTCCAAGTCTCTGCTCAAATGTTTTCTATCATTGGGCTCTTTTAGGAGCACTCCACTGAGGCACAGAGCAGCCATACCAGTGCTTCCTATCCTTCTGTTTATTTTCCCCACTGTACTTACCAATACCTGACACACTATTTCTTACCTTGTTTGTAGATTTTCTGTATCCCACCCCCAAGTCTTACCCCACGAATGAGTTCCATTAGGGCAGGGACTTTGTGCTGTTTTGCTTACTGCTATATTCCCAGTACCTGGAATAGTTCCTGACACAATAGGTGATCCAAAAAATACTTTCTGAGTGAATGACTAGGTTTTCACAAAGGCATGAAGAGGTAGCACAGTCAATTAAACATCCCATTAACTTTAAAGAATGAGGATGTAACTTCAGTATAAAGAAACTTTAGGTATTCCCAATACTAAACATTAACCATTTAAAAAACTGTATTCTTCACATTTCTCTAGTAAAGAATTTCCCAACATAATACTAGTTATGGCTGAGGTATCACACAGCCATACGTCAAATATCTCTCCCAGCTAGAACCAATCATGACTTGGTGTTTTGAATATAAGCACAGGGTCTAGAATCAGCACTGCCAGGTTCCAATGCTATTTCCACCTCTTACTGGGCTATGTGACCTTAGGTAATGGATTTAATATTTCCTTGCTTCAATGTTTTAATCATACAGTGGGGGAAATAATTCTAAAGCATCTCATAGGAGATTATTGCAAGAAATATATGTACTATTACATTCTAAGAACTTAGAAATGTGCTTGATTCTAATTCTTTGATTCACTAACATCTTCACTTAGATGACCTCTAAAATGGTAACATCTCTCTTCAGAAATTCACAGGATGAGGAAGCGACCTTAGAGCAACACTGTATTTCCAGATAAGGAAACCAAGATTAGATGGGAAAGACTTTCTTGAAGTCACAAAACTAGTGGTGGTAAAACCAGCATCAAAATCCAGGTCTTCCAACTCCCAATCTAATATTCTTTCCACCTCATCACACTGTCTCTTCTTGGTGTAAATTTTCCATAATAAATCAAGTGTTAATCTGAGCAAGGAATAAGTGGGGCCCACAGAAGAGAAGTTATGACATGCTGTGAACTAACAAGCTGGTTGGTGGCTAGCCACCACCCACTCCTTGTCTACACCACAGTATCACTCAATGATCAATATTCTTCCAGAGAACATGACAAAATTATTACCTGACAACCTTATTCCTTCCAAATTTGGCTTTACTTCACCCAAATGCCAATAGCAGATTGTAAAAGACAAGCTATTTTAAAATTGATACAGATAACTTTAGAGATACATTTAACTGAAAATCTAAATTGCATCTCTGAACCCCAAGGAGTTGACAGTAATAAAAATAATCCTATGCTATATGTAGAGCACAGATATAGGCAAAATGACAGCCCACAGCTAAAGATTTCTTCTCTAAAGGAGAACAGGACCCTATATGTTATGCAATTCATTCAACTCTTGAGGAAGTTAACACTATGCTACTGACACTTTCTCCCCTGCATTTTTGGTCAGGATCACCTAAAACAATCTCACTAACATCTCCATCTTCCGCAGAGTAGAAATCTAGAGGTTGTTTTATCAGGTTCAGTGTAATAGAGCTGCAGGATTTTAATCTCTTCCCCAATGAGGGTTCAATGAATTTGAAACATATTTGCCCAAACATTTTCAAGGACAAACACCCAAGACTAGTTGCTACTCTTTACAGCCTAGGCAAAAATGGAAATCTACATATGCAATTTCTAACCTGATGGCTGCAGCAGGGTACAATGCTAAGGAAAACATTGGGTTCGCCAAAAAGTTTGATGGGAAAACCCTAATGAACTTTTTGGCCAACCCAATGTGAGAATATGAGGAAGACCACTGAACAAATTAACACAGTTAACTTCCTTGACATGGTACCTAAGTAGAGAAGGTATTTCAAACAAAAGTTTTGCCAATTCACATGGGGCAAGTCAATGCCCAAAGATCAGTGACAAGTATTTAAAAGTAGCTCTAGAGAAATAAGGAAGTAATTCAATTCCCATCTTCATCACTTCCTCACCGTTTTCTGTCGAAGCAGACATTCTCTGAAATCCTCAAATTCTATTTTGCACTCCTTCTCCGCTCGGGTACTACCGATTCCATGTGCACACTCTATCCATTCTTTTTCAAAAGCGTGGCATCGAGCTGGAATCCTGTGAGGCTGCTCAGCACCCTGGATTGTCATCCAGTGGTCTAAGTCAACACCCAGCTTTTTCTGCACATCAAAGAAAGGCATGGCTGAAGTGGAAGGGAAAAAAAAAAAGGAATGCCATAAAATCACAGTCAAAAGAGAAACTTCTGAGAAAAATGAGATAATTATGACAAACAACCCTTTAGAAAGATATTTTGTACTAGTCTCCCAATTTCTTCTCCCCAAACTTTTTCATTACACAAGTTCTTCCAGTTTTTGGTAGATAAGCAATTTTTGTGCTTTCACAAAACTCAAACTCAAGGAAAAGGGAACTTGAACCAAAAACCAATGCATTAAAAATCCTCTATATTGGTAAGGTCATTTTAATCAGAAGTTGAAAAGTGTGTTTTATTGAATTTTTAAAATATATGTTATTTATTTGGCAGTACAGGCTCTTAGTTGCAGCATGCAGGATCTTTTAGTTGCAGCATGTGAACTCTTTTGGCAAGTGGGCTCTAGTTTCCTAACCAGGAATTGAACCCAGGCCCCTACATTGGGAGTGTAGAGTCTAAGCCACTGGACCACTAAAGAAGTCCCTGTATTCAACATTCTGACTCAGTAATCCCAATGCTCTGAGATAGATCTGAAGAAATAACTGAAATAAAAAAGCACAGGCATAAAAACATTTCTTTACATTTTTCGATCCATATCAACTTAGATGACACTTCTAAGAAGCCATCTTGAAGCAGGAATGTCATCCTGTGTTAGCACCGCATCAGCATCGTAGAATTTTCATAGTACCTTGCACACCCCTGTAATGTACTACTCATATGCATATCTCCCTTTTGAACAACCTTGAGGATAGGGACCAGTCAGGTAGGAGTTCAATAATTGTTGGGGGGGGGGGGGAAGAAATTCAAACAACTTAAATGTGCAACAATAGAGAAAGTCAAAGTGTTTGTCTCTCAGTCATGTCCTCACTCTTTTCGACCCCATGGACTGTAGCCCACCGGGCTCCTCTGTCTATGGAATTCTCCAGGCAAGAATACTGGAGTGGGTTGCCATGACCTTCCAGGGGATCTTCCCAACCCAGGGATCAAACCTGGGTCTCCTGCATTTCAGGCAGATTCTTTACCGTCTGAGCCTCCAATGAAGTAAGAGAAATGAGTAATTAAATCCAGTACCTATTTGGTAGACAATGGTGGGGAGTGGATAATACACATGAAATATACATTTTAATGTTTAATGAAAAAAAGGGGGGGTTTACAATAATGCTAAAAAAAAAACTTCAAAAGAAGACAGGAAAGAAGCACAAAAAAAGGTCAACAAATAAGTTTATGAGTGGCAGACTTACAGGTGAATGTAATTTTAAAGTTTTCTACCCATTCTTTCAGTCACTTACTGAGTAATAATGTTCCAGTCACTGGGATGGGGCGGGTGGGGAGCAGCTGCAACCTAAGCATTAGCACTGGGGACACACAGAGGGAACTGGGAACCAACGGACGAGCACAGGCGGTGAGGAGGAAGCACCTATTCTGTCCGGGAAACTGGGAACACGCCTTAAAGATGGGTGGCGTTTGATGCGGATCAAGTGCAGGTCGGTGACGGTACCCCAGCAGGGCACACACTGCAGGAGTTACAGCCGCGGTGCTGGCTTGTGTCTGGGGTTCACTGAGCACCCAGACGCGGCCGGAGCGCAGAGGGCGCGTCGGGAAGAATGAAACGAGCTTTAGAGGTTGGCGGGGCCTAAATCCCGCATGGTCACGCAGCAAGCTGTTAAGGAACGCGGACTTCAGGTTAAGAAACAGAAGGCCAAGTCTGAGTCTGTCAGAAAGTTAAGTCAACCTGGAAAAAGAGCCTAGAGAGGCGCGGTCTATAGTCTTCAGTGACATAGGCTGTGTGGACCAAGGAGCCTGGGAAAGCAGAAAATATGGCCAGGGAGAAAGGTCATCCACCCAGCAAGCCAAGAGGAAATCTGTTAAAGAGATCGCGGAAGGACGCGCTTTAGGCTATATCGCCCAGCGGACACACACAGCCCCTACCGTCCGGCCGCTGTGTCCTTTTCTCCTCGCTGGCCGCCTCTCCTAGACGATCCTCAGGCGACTAGGAGGCCTGCCGCAAAGTAAGCCCGCTGCGCGACCCTTGCAGCGCGACGCCGGGAGCCGACCTGCCTTCCGCCGTCGCCCCGGAACCAGAGAGACCAAGCCCATCTGTCTGCGCCTGCGCGGCCGTCTGAGTTGCCATCCAGAGACTGCGGACGAGTGGACCTTACCCAGACAACCGCGTGAGAGGCATTCTCGGGGTTTAGTGATTTCCTGCTGCTTCCTCCCACAATGCCTGGGACTCTCACCACAGCTATGATTGGTGAGGGACTTGACCAAGGAAACCCTCTTCATCCCCTTCCAGTGGCGGTTAAGCTCATGGAGTGCGGACACACCCAGAGTGGGTTCCAGTTCTTGCTCCGCCACTTCTGTGTCACCTGGCAAAATTTCTTAACCTCACTATGCTTCTGTTTCATCTAAGATAAAAATCATCTTAAAAGATAATAATACAGTGTATAGGGTTGCTTGGGGGGGTTAAATGAGTTCTATTAAAGCACTGGGTTTCCCAGGTTGCCCTAGTGGTAAAGAACCCGCCTGCCAATGCAGGAGATGTAAGAGAAGAGGGTTCGATCCCTGGGTCAGGAAGATCCTCTAGAGGAGGTCATGGAACTCCAAAATTCTTGCCTGGAGAATTCCATGGACAGAGGAGCCTGGCTGGTTACAGCCCATGGAGTCTCAAGTGTCGGACAGGATTTAGCGAGTAAACCACCACCAAAGCACTGAGGCGTTTCCTGGCACGTGGAAAGCACACTTAACACAATTGCCGTTCTTTGTGTCTCAGTTTTTAAAGTTTGCGGACTCTAGAGAGTCGTCAGAGACCATGCCCCTCTGTTTCTGAACCTCCAGAGGTTCCCCTTGTTTACAGCAGGACCCCCAAAGTGGTGGTGAGGTTGGGGCTGGGGCGGCTGCGCAGGGTGTGGGTACCATATAGTGTATGTGATATATGTTGGGGAAGTAGGAAGAAAATAGTAGAAGATTTCTAATTTTTGTGTTTTTTAATTTCTTGTTTGTGTGTTAATGTTTATAAAGAGCATAATATTACATTAGTTGTACATATAAATAACTTGTAAATAAATATTTATTGGGGGTTTGGGCTGAAAACTTTTTTTTTTTCTTCACTGGAGACAGAAGGTTTTATTGATGCTGATGGGGGTAGAAGGGCCCCAGGAGCCCGATGGGGGTGGGACCGAGTCAGTCAGCAGGTGCATGAGGCCCAGGAACATGGGGGTAGGTTAGGGCACATTCATCTTACTACGATTCAGTGGCTTCTTCCCTGTGGAAGGGAGAGCATCTTGAGGGCGGAGCAATTTGAAGAGCAGTGAGGGAGAGGTTAGGGTCTGCTGAGCCCTCCTGAGAGAAGGCACTAGGCCAGGCAGCAATATCTGTGTGGAAAACTAGGTCAACTGGTGAGTAGGGGGAAATGGCGAGGAGGCACTGGGTTGGCTTCTTGGAGGAGGGGTCCGACTTTGACCTGGATGAGCTCTCAAGAATACTTGGCGTTTCCAAGCAGAATGGGGCAGGGCCCAAAGCCCCTTTCCCTGTGGGTCCCCTTAAGGAGAAAAAGACATTTGGGGACCCCATAAGCAAGGGGGTGCCAGAATTAGTCCTTAAGGCAGAGCTGGGGGCAGACGAGACGCCAAGACACAAAGGGGCAACCGGTGAGGGGTCGGGGGCAGCCTCCAAGCTGAGTGCCAGGTCACAAGAGGACGCAGGACTGCCCATGCTTGATCGGCGTGGGGTTGGCGCTGCTGGACAGCCTCGGTAAACACTTCCTTGATGCCATCCTGCTGCAGGGCCAGGCGCCTTTGGGGTGTCAGGTCCTTCTTGGTGCCCACCAAGAGGATGGGCACCTCAGGGCAATGGTGGCACACCTCTGAATGCCACTTGTGCTGCACGTGCTCATAGGAAGGCGGATGACAGTGGAGAAACAGATGACAAACATGCTGGTCTGAGGGTAAGAGAGTGTACAGAGGTGATCATATGCCTCCTGGCCTGCTGTGTCCTACAGGTTCAGGTTCACTGGGCACCCGTCAACTGCACTCTGGGCACTATAGTTGTTGAACACTGTGGGGATGTACTCCTTGGGGAAGGCATTGCTTGTGTAGCATGTTTTGACCACAGCCCCTTCGCTGACCACCACACACTTGATGCTCTGCCTGGTGGGTGCAGGTGCTGCGGTGGAAGCTATGCCTCTTTCCCTTTCTGAGCCCTCCTGGATAAGTGACCTGATGGCAGTGACCCCCAAGGCAGGGAAGATGGGGGTGCGGCAGTGGCTCTGGACTGCAGATTTCTTTTCCTTTTAAGCGATGAGCTCTCAAAACTGTTTAGAGAAGTCCAGTGTTCCAACCTTCCCAGCCTCATTGTCCAAAACCCTGCCTAATGCCCTGACTGAGAGCTTGCTCTTTCGTGTATTCCAGGAAAATCCTGCGATCCAACCTCTCACTCTTTTTTTTTTCTTCTTTTCCTTGGAAGGATACCGATTCCTCCCTCCCCACTTCCATTTCTGCATGCCAAATTCCTGCTCTGCTTCAGGACTTTTGCATAGGTTTTTCTCCAAAACGCATTAACTATCACCAAGCTCTAGTTTCATCCACTCTGAGGAGAATGCCTGAGGTCCCACGATGTACTGGTTTTGTTCCAGCATTCCAATTCTTTCCTTCCCCCCTCATCAGATATATACCCCACCTTAGATCAGTTTCAGTTTGGCTAGAATTTCCTGGGCACCTAATGCATGTCCAGCACAATACTGGAGGATTATGGAATTGGTAACTCATGGCCCTTGCCTACAGAATACTAGAGGTAGCAAGGTAGTGATCACCACCACCCCTTTCACTTCTCCCATTTAATTTTGGTGATAGCATCTTTCCAGCCATTCAGGTAGTAAACTCTGAAGCTGTATTTTGCCTTTTCCTCCTGCTTCATCCAATATTTAATCACTGGCCGAATGCTTTCAAATATACCTTCAATAGATTTTCCATTTATTTCCTCCTTTCTGCCTCCTGG